ACATTGCATTTGGACATCACAAACATATAATTTGAAACAATGCTGCATTCAACATACCAAATGGCACAAAAATTGATATTTAGGTGTGTTCTTTAATATTTACTTTTAAATTAAGAAATTAACTAATGTATCATACTAGAATTTGAATTATAATCAACAATTTGATAACAAACTTATTGGCATAAATTCATAAAATAGTAATTCAATAAAATTTTTAAAGCAAGTCAACAAACACGATGACAAGGCCTTTGACCAATGACCCATGGCAATAGGGTTAATTTCAAAATATGATTAATATTGACCTGTATTTTTTTTATATGTCAAATTCTGATCATAATGAAAGGTTGATAAATATAATGTTAGTACAGTATCTACTATCAACTTACTAAAATCATAGCTAAAAGCTATAGATCATCCAAGAAAAACAAGGCTTTACTTACATTTTCATAAATTTCCTTTAATAATTGAATCAGCTTTGGATGGGCTTGGAGCTTATCTTGACATTGATCAAATATTTGTTTCATACTCAGTACTCCAGGACACATTTTTGAGATCTTAAATTTCTGCACAAAAAAGTTTGATTTACTAATAATAAAATATTAAATTGCATCAATAAAGTTGTTTTGATAAAGGAATACAAATAAATAATTTTTAAATTACAACTAATCATTTATTTTCAAATGAAACTTGGATAGTTGGAATAAACGGAAACACCAATTTTCATTACTTAATTATTTTCATGAGTAGTAATATTAATTGATTATGCTGAACAACCTTGAATTAATCAAAAGTAATAATTAGAAATCAAAATGGCAATATTTTGATTCAAAGGAAATATTGAAAACAGTACAAATAATAAGCACATTAATCAACTTAATCAAAATTACATGACACTAATTAACATACACATGTAATTGATTAGATCAACAAGTCAAGTTAATTGCTAGCTCATCAGTTGTGGCAATTTTAGACATTGGTTAATAACCTTTTAGAGAACATGCAGTAGTTTATTCTTATCAAAAGACTTACAAAGAAAGATATTTAAAACTGCTTTAGAAAGTTTCATGAAGCATTCTCATCACTTACACTGTATATACCACATGTATTAACTGAAATGTTAATAAAGAAAAAATTACAGATTGGGCTTTAAAAAAGCAAACACAAAACAATTGGAGGCTGCTAATGTTTTG